AAAAAAAAAAAAAAAAGCTAAAGAGGATAGAGAGAAACACTGTTAACTGATGATATATGGAGGGGATAATAATCAATGTAATGAAACAAGCATGGTTGAATGTGAAGCTGATGATGTGCCCTGTAAACTTTCACTCAATCCAAAATAAAAACATTTAATTAAAAAAAAAAAATTAGCCTGCTATATCTGGTCAGACATTTAATTAACTCACCCCTAATGTGATGGCTAAGGAGCTCTGGTAGTGCATAGTGGTTACGAATCAGGCTGCTAACCTCAAGGTCAGCAGTTTGAAACTACTAGCAGTTCCACGGGAGAAAGATGAGGCTTTCTGCTCCCATGAAGATTTACAGCCTTGGAAATGCTATGCAGGGTCGCTGAGTCAGAATCGACTTGACAGTACTTAACAACAACTACAACAATGTGATGGCTGGAACTGCAGTTGCCTTGGCAGAGCCCGATCAAATGATTTCATAGGCCTTATAAGGCTGGACGTTCCCCATCCCTGATTTACAGTCTCAAAAACCCTAAGGGGCAGTTTTACAGGGTCCTAGAGCAAGAAATTTGGAAGACAACTTTCTGGCCAATTAATTGGGAGAGTTCTGTATTTGTGCTCATTCCAAAGAGAGGTGACCCAATAGAAGGCGGAAATCATTGGACAATATCTTTGCTATCCCATGCAAGTAAAACTGTACTTAAGGTAATACAGAAAGAGCTGTAAGCATACATTGACAGAGAACTTCTAGAGGTTCAAGATAGATTCAAAAGAGGCTATGGAACAAGGAATATCATTGCTGACGTCCGTTGGATCTTGGCTGAAAGCAGAGAATACCAGAAAGATGTTTTGTTGTTGCTGTTATATGCCATGGAGTCGGTTCCGACTCATAGCGACCCTGTACACTTGTGCTTTATTGACTATGCAAAGGCTTTCAATTGTGTGGATCATTACAAGCTATGGACAACACTGCGAAGTATGAGTATTCCGGAACACTTAATTGTGCTCATGAGGAATCTGTACCTGGACCAAGAAGCAGTTGTTCAAACAGAACATGGGAACACTGAATGGTTTAAAATTAAGAAAGGTGTGTGACAAGGTTGTATAATTTCATCATACTTATTCAACCTGTATGCTGAGCAAATAATCCGACAAGCTGGGTTATATGTAGAAAAATGTAGCATCAGGATTGAAGGAAGACTCATTAACAACCTACGATATGCAGATGATACAACCTTGCTTGCTGAAAATGAAGCGGACTCAAAATACTTACTGATGAAGATCAAAGAGCACAGCCTTCAGTATGGATTGCATCTCAATGTAACAAAAACAAAAATCCTCACTGGACCAATAAACAATATTCTATTCAATGGAGAAAAGATTGAAGTTGTCAAGGACTTCATTCTTCTTGGGTCAACTATCAACTCTCATGGAAGCTGCAGTCAAGCAATCAAATGAGGTATTGCATTAGGCAAATCTGCTGCACAAGACATTTTTAAAGTGTTGAAGAGCAAAGCTTGAGGACTAAGGTGTGCCTGACCCAAACCATGGTATTTTCAATAATGTCATATGCATGCGAAAGCTACACAGTGAATAAGGAAGACCAGAGAAGAATTGATGCATTTGAATTATGGTGTTGTAGGAGAATATTGAAAGTGCCATGGGCTGCCCCCAGAACCAACAGATCTGTGTTGGAAGAAGTGCAGCCAGAGTGCTCCTTAGAGGCCAGGATGGCCAAACTTCGTCTCTCATATTGTCAGGAGGGACTTGTTGCTGGAGAAGGATATCATGTTTGGCAAGGTAGAGGGTCAGAGAAAAAGAGGAAGACCCCCCAGCGAGATGGATTGGCAATATGGCAGTATCAATGGACTCAAGCGTGGCAACAATTGTGAGGCTGGCCCAGGACTGGGCAATGTTTTGTTCTGTTGTGCATAGGGTTGCTATAAGTTTGCACCGACTCGCTGGCACCTAACAACAACAACATGTGGTGACTATGAGTCGGAATTGAATTGCTGGCAATGGTTTTGGTTTTGTTGTGGCTTAAAGGTGGCAAAGACTACAGTTTCAAAACTTTGCCTCCGTCCATTACTGCTAGTCCTGAACTTCTTGTGTTACCTTTGTTCAGCTCTAGCATATATCAAAATTTAGCTATTGGGGACATGAAATGTCTGTGACTGGGAAAAGAACAGCCGAGTTTAAAGTAGCCATGGCCTTGATTTTGTCATTTTTAAATGAGGTAGTTGCACTAATAACTGATTCTCAAAGAGAAACCCCTTTGTCAAACAAGAGTTTACCTTGACCTCCAACACAGATCCCTGGAAAAAGCTGAGTCACTCTGACTAAGGGAAGGTTTGAAGGACCCCGAATTGAGACCACTTAAGCCTTTCCTTGCCTTGTCTTGCAGTCCCTGGGCAACTTCAGGCTGATCCCATACTCCAAGGAAGAAAACTTTGAAAACCACTAGTAAAGGAGCCCTCCCTGTTGGTGTAGTGGGTTGGTGGTTCAAACCCACTGGCAGATTAACTGTAAAGATTAACAGTCTCAGAAACCCTAAGGAGCAGTTTGATTCTGTCCTCTATATGGTATAGGAGGATAAGCACCGAACTTGGTCATTGCAAGGCTGTCGGTTAAAACCCACCAGGTGCTCTTGGAAATCCTATACAGGGTTGCTATGACTGCACTGAGACAACAACAACACTAGGGGTTCGAATCCACTGCCATCAAGGTTTGTTTTGGTTTGGGATTAGGTCATTACTAAAATCTTCCCTATTACTTAACCTATGCTGAAAAAGGTAAACCCCAAAAACAAAACAAACACGTCATAGATTCCAGAGTTTAAGCAGAACTCACTTCTGGTTATCTACACGATTTGCTTCCATGTGACTGGTATGGAGCGGATCTACTTTGTTCCAAAACTTACTCTATTGAGATCATTTTCACTACAGCAATTCTGAGGAATGAATTATATTTAAAAAAAAAAAAAATTGTTAGACACCCTTGAGTCTGGCTTCCATTATGTATTGAGAAAGATGTGGATGGTCAGTAGAGAACAGAATAGCCCGGCCAGCCAAAAGATAAGAAACAGATTTGGATGGGAAGAACCATAGATTTGAGGGCCAGACGGATCAGAAAATTAGCAACTCCAGTGTTCTGTCTCCATGAAAACACAAAGTTCATTCATTCATCCAGCATCTGTTGGATACTCAGGCCCCATGCTAAGCACACCCGCTCCCCAGAGCAAAGAAGATGCAGGTCTTGTCTACAGGAGGCACAGAATCCAACAGGGAATGTTGTTGTTGCTAAGTGCCATGGAGCCACTTCTGACTCACAGGGATCCTGTACGGGGTTTCTGCGGAGTGGCTGGTGAGTTTTCAACTGCGGAACTTGTGGTGCAAACCGACCTTGTGGTCCAGTGCATTCTCCTGCAGCATCAGCTCAGGACTCCATTCAGCAGGGGATGGAAGTGGCAAAGACATACTCTTACAACCATGACACAGGTAACAGGGGGGATGCAAGGTCTTATTGGGTTTGGAGTAGAGGGGTAAACATAAGCTTGAGGAGGGTGGGAGCTTTGTCTCTTTACTCACTGTTATAATCCCAGGGTGTACCTGGGTGGTACAAATAGAAAGGATGGAGGTTCGAGTCAACCCAGAGACACCTTGGGAGAAAGATCTGGTGATGCATTTCTGGAAAACTCAGCCATTGAAACCCTATGGAGCACAGTTGTTCCAAATCAGGGATGACTTGTATTTTCATAACTCCCAGAGTCTAGGACTCTTGGTGTGGTAACGGTAGGATCAGCACTGGACTGCAAACCACCAGGCCAGCAGTTCAAACCCACCAGATACTCCTCGGAAACCCTACACTGGGTTGCTATGAGTTGGAACCGACTCGACAAAAGAGGCTAGATCAGTGCCTTGGGACATCCTACTGGACTGTTTTGTGAATGAATAAGCTGAGGCCCTGAATAGAGAACTAAGTGGCTTGTCTACATTTCCCTTGGCCTTGAGAAGTCTGCATTCACGTGATTGTTGTTGTTGTTAGGTGCCCTTGAGTTGGCTCTCACTTATAGTGAACCTGTATAGAGTTTCTGAGAAGGGTGGATTTGAACTGTCTACCCTGTGGTTAACAATCCAGTGCTTATTCTATAGTGTCATACCAGGACTCCATTCAAGTGGTAGAGGGAGAAATAGAGATGGTCAGAAAGAAAAAAAAAAAAACACAGGACAAAAATATTAGCAAGTATAAATCAGGAGAGCAGTATCTCACAGATAGAGTTCAAAGGGAAACAGCTGCTTTTGGAGGCTGCTCTGGTTTTTAGCTTTGGGGTAAACTTGGAAACCACACATTATAGGTCAACCTCCCCTTGTCTGAAGGGTTGTGACAGAGGTCTCAGAAATATGGCATGGTGCATCTCCTGGGCAGGGCACAGCTAGGCCCACAGGAGCTAGAAAGATGTAGGAGATAATGGGGCAAGAACATGGTTGAGGCTCAATTTAAACTAAGTCTTCCTGATACTCCATTCTGCTCCCACACCATCCATTCCCAATCTCTCCCAGCATTTATCTCAGTCATAATGACACCATGACCCATGGAATCTGTGTTTTTCCTGTCCCTTGTCTCCACAAGAGTAGGGAATGCATGTCTTGTTCACTTCTGAGCACCCTATAAGTAGCCTGGTACTAGACCCTCGGCTGAATGAATGCTGGTTTGTACCTGGAGAAGGTGAGTTCTGAGTCAGGGTCAGGTCAGAAGTGGGGAGAGAAGAAAGAGAGTCCCCTGGAAGGTCATCAGCTCACCTCCACGCTGCTCAGCCACTGTCGGACCGACAGGAAGGACTGCTTGGCTGTGAGGTCATACATGACGATGACACCGTCGGCCTTCCTGAAGAACTGCTGGGTGATACAGCGATACCTGCCAGATGGGGCCGTGGGTCAGTGGGTGTGCCCCCATGTGGGGGAGTGGGGGGAGGCATGGGGACAGCAAGCTCCTCACCTTTCCTGCCCAGCAGTGTCCCATAGCTGCAGGGCCACCCAAGAGTCATCCACATTCACCGTCTTCACTTGGTAATCGATCCCTGCAATATGGAGTGGGCTGTCAGAGCTCCGAGGGCCAAGGCCTCTTCATCTCCTGATCAGGAGAGAGGGCACCTCCAACAGGTCTGGATTCACCTCAGCCCCGTTGTGCAGCTCCGGGAGGTGAGCACTGGACAGGGAGCCACAAGTCCTGAGTTCAAGTCCTGTCTCTGCCACTTAACCTCTTGGAGCTGCAGTCTCTTCACTGTAGTGCAAGCCTACCCTTTTACCTGACTGAGCACTATACTCAAGGACCAGGTGAGATCATGTGAAAATGACATTCCAAAGCAGACAGAGGTTAGTACTCAAGAGTCTACTCTAGCACTGGGAAGATGGAGAGACCGTCCTCACTTAATTTCATTCTCTTAAAAAATTATCCTAAAAACATTTTCAGAGTTTCCCTAAATAAAATTCCACAATCCTGAGGGTGGGGTAGGTGGGTCATATTTGAATCACTTTGAAGGGACTTAAGTATGTGGGGAAGGAAGAAGGGAGACGGTGGCAGGTAGAGGAAAGGGCTTGTTGTTAAGTACCTTTGAGTTGGTTATGACTCATAGCGACACTGTATGTGGCTTCCAAGGAGTGACTGGAGGGTTTGAACCACTGAGCTTGTGATTAGCAGTTCAGTGTTTATCCAGAGGGAGAGGAGGGAATCAAAGGTCTCAGTCACCCTCCTGACATGGGTTTCTTTTGAGCTCCTAATCACAGACATTCACAATCAGGGGTTATGAACCCCAGAAACAATGAATAAGGTCAGTGAAATGCATTCTGCATCTCCAAATCAACTACTGATTTCAACTCATAGACACCCTTTAGGATAGAGTAGAACCACCCCATAGGGTTTCCAAGAGTCTAAATGCTTCTGGGAGTACACAGCCTTATCTTTCTCCTCCAGCTGAGTTGCTAGTGGGTTTGAACTGCTGACCTTGTGGTTAGCAGCCTAACACTTATCCCACTGAGCTACAGGGCGGCTTCCTGTGTCTCAAAAGACAGGGACTTTAGAGAAGGCTTTTTGAGTCACAATCCTCTCTCCCACATCCTATAAGAAGCCTCACAGATGCTTAAAGATGCTAAGAAAGTTTTCTCCCCTTAATGTACCAAATGTGGGAGAAAGAGGAGGCTGTCTGCTCCCATAGAGAGTGGTGGTGGTGGTAGTGGAGTATGCCATGGAGTTGGTTCTGACTCACAGCAACCCTGCATGGAGCTTCCAATGCTGTAAGTCTTTACAGGAGCAGAAAGCCTCATCTTTCTCCCATGGAACAGCTGGTAGTTCTGAACTGCTAACTTTGAGGTTATCAGACTGACTCATAACCACTATGCTTTGGAAATCTACAAGGCAGTTTATTTTGTCCTGTGGGGTTGCAGTGAGTTGGTTTAAGGCACCAGATCTTAGAACTCTCCCATCTTCAAAAAGATCCAGCCTCTGGAAAGCACCGGAAGGGATATAGCAACAGCAACATGGACAGGCAGAAACAGAAGAGACAAAGCACATCACAAACTGGCATTAAATGGAAAAGATCACCCAGCCATTGTGTCCGGGCAAAGGCATTAAGGGCTAGTGAGTGGAGGAAAGGCGGCAGTCTTCCACTCTGCAAATGTCAGGACCAGCAGGGACTCGAGATGCCCTTTGCTTCCAGATGAGGGCCAGAGAGAGGAATGTGTCCATCTGGCTAGAGAAAAAGAGTGACCACTCCCACTGGTAGGTTTTCATATGCCCTGTCTCCGCCCTCCTGGTAGTACCCCTGCACAATCACACACACATAGAGAGGGAGAGAGAGACACATGGTGAGATGAAGAAACAGAAGTCCAGAGAGGCTGTGCATGCCCCACAATGGCCAGCAGTTGTGAAGAGATGCAAACGCAGTTTGGGGGCACCTTGCTCTGGGCCCCGGGACACTGGGCAGCTTAGCTCAGGCCAGTGCTAATGCTCCCATCCAGACAGTTTGCAAATGGAATCCAAGTATGGGTTTTCTTCTTGGCTTTCCTGGCCTGTGCCCAGGGAAGAGTGAAGAGAACTTGCTTTATGATAACAACACAGAGGAAAACCTACCATTACCAATAGGCCTTCAAGTTTACCAGCAAGTGGGTCCAAACAAAACTTCTGGGGCAGAACCTTTCTCTTACTGGGAAGGCAGGTGGGTACAGCTGGGGCAGCCATTTCCTGGCTACTTCAACCTTCCTGCTCTACCTCACCAGCTAATGAAAACATTTAGCCTGAGGTTAGAAACTTTGCCTTGTGGGGATCGAAGTGGTCAAAAGAGAGCTAGAAAAATGCGTTCTGTGCTGTGGGGACCTTGCCCAGACTCCCTATTGGATACACAGTGTACTTCTCCGGCCAGCAGACAGGCAGGCTGGGGGAATCAGACGGACAAGCCTACAGGGCAGGGGTGCGATAGCAGAACACAAGGAAGTTATAGTTCAGTAGAGAGGCAGCACACAGTAATACGTGGCCAGAAGGACCTCGATTACTTATTTCTAAGACTGCCCCGGTTCTAAGAGTCCAGGAGTAGAGACCCACATTCTGAGATCCTTTCTCAGCTCTGCCACTGATCAGCTGAATGACTTTGATGATATCATGTCACCTCAGTTTTCTTGGGCTGGCGGTGGGGGGTGGGGGTGGGGGTGCTTCATTTTCTTCATCTGTGAGATGAGGTGTGGTAGAGGATGTGGGTTGTCCCTGGGTGGTGCAAATACTTGACATGCTCAGCTGCGAACTGAAAGGTTGGAGATTGGAGTGCCTCAGAAGAAAAGCTTGGTGATCAACTTCTAAAAGATCACAGTCATTAAAATCCCTATTGCACACAGTCCTACTTTGACATACTTGAGGTTGCCATGAATCAGAATCAACACAATGACAACTTTTTTTTTAAGAGCAGAGGTAGGATGTAAATTGGGAAGTCATGAGCTTTAAGATTCAGTTCAGCTGTTACCATGAAGTACGCCGTGGAGACGTGTGGGTTACAGCTGAGCTGATGGACTTCAGGAAAGGGACGTTAAGAAAACAGGCCCAAGCTGACTTTTACAGCAGGGCTATTTTGGAGTGGGGAGGATCAGCAAGATTGTCGTGACTAAAAAACCTACAGAACCTCTCAGTGGCTTTTTTGTAGAGCTGAGCTGGTAGGGATTATATTTGGCCAGAGATCCGTTCTGGCATTGGACTGCTTGTTTCCCTGGGAGCTACAGCACTGTGAGTCTTATCTCTTCCTAGGGAGCATCTTCAGGTGAGACACCTGCTCACTGACATGTGGACCAGAGCTAGGCCCGGAGCCTGACAGGGGACCTCATTGGAGCCATTCACTGCAGATTTTGTACAGTGTGATGAAGGGCCTTCCTGATTTGGAATCTTTGATTTTCCCTCCCTCCCTAAATTATCGATGTTTCCATAGTTGGCCTCCTGAGAAGTGCCAATCAGTCTGGGTTTTTTCTCTACCCACCCCACCCCTACCCCCACCCCCAGCCTTCCATCTCAGAGCACAGGTGGGAAATGTAAACGGATCCTGATTTCATTGGCAGGAACAGCACATGGAACAAAGGGCTCAGCATCTGTGCTTCAGCCATGACTTTTGGGACCCACCCCATTCTGATGCTTTCCTAGGAAGGTGAGCCCACCTTCCTACAGTTGTGGCTTCCTGAAGCACTTCGCTGGGTGCCTCAGACTCACTCTCAGCCAATGCTTTCAGGCCAAGCCAGGCAAGGCTCTCCTGGGCTTGATTGACAGATTCTGCCCTCTGCCCATCAGGCCTTCTTCTTGGGAAGCTCTCTGCCTTTGGGTGGAGTGGGACAGAAAGGAGGGAAAGGCTCTGCAGGAAGGATGGGACAGCCTGGGGGAAGAGACCCACCTGTGGGAGAGAAGGTAGAAGAAGAGGCAATTTAGGATGAGAGAAAGAGAATGGCGTAGATTCAGTTTATGGAACAGAGCCAAAGGTGGTCTGGACAGAGGTCAAGCTTGAGAGCAGTCTTAGGTAGAATCAGTTCCCACTCACTGAGATCCCATGTGTGTCAGAGTAAAACTGCTCCATAGGTTTTCTAGGGTTGATTTTTCAGACACAGACCATTAGGTCTTTCTCCCAAGGTGCCTCTGGGTAGACTTGACCTTCTAACCTTTACACCATCTAGAGACTCCTTGTCTCAGCTTACCCAAACCTTCCATGTTTCTAAGTGGAGCCCATTTAGGGAGTATGTTCTCCCAGGGTTGCACAGCTGTGGGTGCAGGGTGGGACAAGGCTTGAGGACTTTTGGTACCCCACTGGTGCTATGTCAATGGACTCTGAGCAAGCAGCCTCTTCTGTCAGCACCAACCTCTGCCCACCTTCTGTGGCAGATAACTGTCCTTGCCACTGGGCCCTGAGGAGGTACAATCCAATATTGTTACCAATACTGTGGGTGGAATAGTAAGTATGTGTATATATGTAGGGGGAGGAATCAGCACTAACCAGCTGATAGGACCTCAGTTTCCTGATCTGTATACTGGGCTCATAACAATGCTTGTCTCCTAGGGTTGTTGTGAAGATAGACTGAAATCATGAATATAAAATCCCTTAGTAATTATTCAGGTCATATAAATATATCCAGATCATTCAATATATTTTCAAGTGTCATTGACATACCCACTCTGTTACATGGTACATCAAACCCAAAACCAACAAACCCACTGCTGTTGAGTTGACTGTGACTCATACCGACTCTAACCAGGGCTCCTGTAACTGGCACGTGGTGTTGTTAGGTGCCATAGAGCCAGCTTCAACTCACAGCAGCAGTCCTATGAACAGTAGAACAAAACGTTGCCATATCTGCCCCAACTTCACACGTGTTATGTTAAGCCCATCATTGTAGTACAGGGACAATCCAGCTCCATCTTGTTGGGCATTTTCCTCTTCTTCACTAGTCCTCTACTTGCTAAGCATGACATCCTTCTCCTGACAAAGTACATGAGACGAAGTCTCACCATCCTGGCTTACAAGATGCATTCTAGCTGTACTTCTTCTAACATAGATTTGTTTGTTCTTCTGGAACTTTCAACATACTTTTGCCAACACCACCATTCAAAAACCACAAATTCATCTCCTGTCTTCCTTATTCATTGTCTAGTTTTCACGGGCATATGAAGTGATTAAAAATACTATGACTTGGGTCAGGCACACCTTAGTAATCAAAGTTACATTTTTGTTCTTTAACACTTCAAAGAGGCCTTTTACAACAGATTTGCCCAATGTAGTAATTTGTTTGATTTCTTGACAGCTGCTTCCATGAAATGCTACATAATAGGTACTTAGTGGATTTGTTACTTAACTTGGTGGAAGCTAAAAGGTCATTAAAGTATCTCAAACTATTTTCCCCCTAATCTTGCCGTATATTCCAATGCAACTTTAGGTTAAGGGATTCAACTCCTTTGGTGCTGTTAGTGTTGGACTGCAATTCAAAAGGTCAGAGGTTCAAGCCCACCAGGCACTCCAAGAGAGAAAGATGAGGCCGTCTGCTCCCATACAAATGTACAATCTTGAAAATTCTATATAGGGTCTCTATGCATCACAAGTGACTCAATGGCGTGGGTTATTAAAATAAAACATTTTCCAAGACTGAAAACACATTAAGACATGTAGAATACTTTCCCCAGCTTCCACCCCCAAGTGCACACATATACATACAGTTGGCCCACTGTGGGGTGGGATGGTGTGGTGGCAGGGAATGGGTCTCAGTATGGGTTATAGATTCACTACAGATTAAATTATGTTCCCACAAAAGATATGTTGAAGTCCTAACCACCGTACCTATGAATATGACCTTATTTGGAAATAGTGGCTTCCTTTTGTTATGTTAATGAACCTACACCTGTGTAGGATGCATCCTAAACCTAATCTCTTCTGAGTAGACGCTTATAATAAAAGTAAAACAAACATGGAGAGTCCCGTGTGCACACACACACACAAGCACAGAGAACTACTACTCCATGGGCGTACAAGCCAAGGAAGGTCAAAATGCTGAAAGATACCAGAGTTTTTCCCCAGGGCCAATGGGGACTGTGACCCTAATTCTGCTGGTTGTGTTGTTAGTTGTCTTGTCTGTTCCAAGCCTGAATTCAGACGCCTAGTCTCCCGGAGACAATGGCATCCTCTTCTTTAAAGCCACCCACTGTGGTACTGGTACAGGGCAGCACTAGGCCATGAGGATACCCCTGGTCAGCCCTGGAGGATCATGAGATCCAGAGTCCTGCACAAATGGGTGGAGTGACAAAAGGGACACAGGTGCTCAGAGAGAGGACAGAGGGGCATGAAGCCCAGTATTGCCACCTTCAGTTCCATTCAGGACTGGATCTGTGAAGCGTTCAGTGGTACCATCACGTGGAGAATGAGCTTAAGGACTTCACCTTGCTCTCCCAGCCTCACTGGAGAACAAAGCCCCCAGTCCCCACTGCCCTTCCCTGCTCTAACCCTTCCCTGCTAACCCCTGCTCCCCTTAGGGACCAGAACTCACCCACAGTGGCTGCCATGCCTGGGGAGAACCGGTCCTCACAGAACCTCCTCAGGAACGATGTCTTCCCCACACTGGAATCCCCCACAAACACAATCTTGAAGAGCCGGTCTGGGGTGGAGGGAGAACTTTCCTCCTGTAGATGGCAGAGAATCCAGCTTGGTCCTGTAGGCTTGATGCACACCAGCTGCTACATAGGTTACAGGGGTCTATGGGAGGGTGGGGGCCTGGCTTCCAGACCAGCACCAGGGAAGCCTTTACAGCCTTGGAAGGCAGGCAACTGTGGACTCAGAGCCTGGAGGCTCCTTCCAGCATCAGTAGGAGGGAAGGAGGGACATCCCTTGGACCAACATTTATCGACCACTTTCTGTGTTTTAGGCCCTGTGCGGGGCCTGAGGCCACACAGAGGAGAAGGCTGGCCCTGGTTTATTGTGGAGGGGAGGAGGCAGGCATGCAAACAACTACAGCACAAAGCACTAGGAGTTCTGGGAGCAGACAGGTGAAGTTAAGGACCCACAAAGAAGGCGGTTTGGAGTCAGGCTTAAAGAGGAGGCAAGGAGTCTCTAAAGAGGTGAAGAAGGACAAGCTGGGGTTTTTGCAGGAAGAAGGGGAGGTGGAAAAAGGAAGACTCATCTGTGTCATGAGGGGGTGGGGGGCAGAGACAGCCAGGTCGGAGCTAGGGGCCTCTTATGCCTACCCCATTAGTGCAGGCCTGGGCTAAATGGAGGCTGACTTACTTCCCTGCACACAACCCCTGCCTCATCTCACCTGTTCTTACTTAAGACCTCACCCTCCCTGGATAATTAAGTTGAGAAATCCTATGATGCCAGGTCACTGGGCTGGGTTTTCCAGGGTCTGCTGGCCACTCACTGCTCCTTCTCCTCCCAGTGGGGCTGCACTGGGGGATGAGAGACTGGGACACTGAGGCCCAGAAAGGAAAGAAACTGGCTCTAGGACACACAGCAAAGGTAGAGGCAGAGTAAGGGTCCTTTCTGCTCCACTGGCTATCCCTTCCTCCTGAGAGCTGCTTGCTCGCCCTCATCCTGCCCTCACCCAGCCCAGCACTGCCTGGTGGAGTGAGGAGGCTCTTTCAAATCTATTTAAGAGTGGATTTAGGGAATTAGCGCTTCTCTTTGTGCAAATACTGTAATAGAGTGACAGCCTGTATTACCAGTCCTTGAGCTTCAGAGAAAAGCCATTAACAGTCTTTTGGGAAGAAACCAATCCCATGCAGTACTTAAAGGGGAACTCAAGGTCAACTCATAGAATTTAAAGTAACCTTAAAACATCACCATCAACAACAAAATGCAACTCAACAATTCTGTCCCCTGCTCCCTTGTCTTTATTCAGGCAATGCACAAGGACATCGACTCTGCTGGTCTCCAGGTGCTGCACTGCTAACTGTCCTCTGAGACTAAAAGTTAATGCTCTCATCCATCAATTCCCAGACACAGGCATGGCGTGGTGGATGTGGGACAGCATGGGACAGGTGGCACTGGCTGCAGAAGCGTTGGCTGCCTGACTCGCAGACCCGTGTCTGTAAGCAGAACCACTAAACACATTGTTTTAGAAGGCCGAGTACACTCGCGCTCAAGCTCGTGCACTGGCCTCTGAGTACAGCCCACTTGCCGTACAGCCGTGAGATGGCAGGCAGCGTACGGAAAAGTTTGGGGCTGGCAAGTCAGGAAATTGGGTTCGCATCCTCTCTCCCTCCATCTCCCCATCCTCTTTTTAAATAAAACATTCCCAAGACAAAATCCACTGCCATTGAGGTGATTCTGACTCCTAGTGACCCTGCACATGGTTTCTGTAGCTATAAATCTTTACTGGAGCAGAAAGCCTCATCTCTCTCCCTGGGAGTGCCTGATGTGTTTGAACTGTGCATCCTGAGGTTAGCAGTCCAGTGCTGATCCTACAGTGCCACACCACATTGATAGATATATAAATCTATGAAGATAGAGGGGGCTTCAAAAATTTGTAGATAAGTGGAATTAAAAGATCATGGATTTTTTCAATAAACTTTTTGAAGCCCCATTGTATATATTTTGTTCAAAGAAATGTTAGATATTATAAGGAGTCCTGCTGGTGCCATGGGTTAGGCACTGGGCGGTTAACCACAAAGTGGGTGGTTCAAACCCACTAGCTTTCTGCTCCTGTAAACACTTATAGTCTCGGAAACCTTGTACAGTTGCTATGAATCAGAATCTACTCCCTTACAGGGGGTTTGGTCTTGTTTCATATAGAAAATTTTATTCTGCTCTTTAGAATGTTGTTAAATTATCTGTATTGTTGTGTTGTTGTTAAGTGCCATCATATTGGTTCCAACTCATAGTGACTTTTGGTCATTTCCTTAGGAAGGATTGCTCCAATTCAAAGTGTTCGTTTAAAAGGATGTATGTGACTCAGTAGGTCTAGTACTGGACTGAGAACCATAAAGTTGGCAGTTCAAATCCACCAGTTGTTCCTTGGAAATCCTATACAGTGTCTCTAAGAGTTGGAGTTGACTTGACGGCACTTAGCAACAACAACAATTTTAAAATTCTTGATTCATATTATCCAGCTACTACCAATATAGGCCCCACTAGCTTGTGTGTCCGGTGTGGCTCTGTAGGATTAGCACTGATCTGGTAACTGCAAGGTTGGCAGTTCAAACCCACCAGCTGCTCTCAGAAACCATAGAAAGGGTTGCTTTGAGGAGCTCTGGCAGCGGTTATGAATCAGGCTGCTAATCTCAGGGTCAGCAATTCAAAACTACCAGCTGTTCCGCAGGAGAAAGATGAGGCTTTCTACTCCTGTAAAGATTTAAAGCCTCGGAAACCCCGTGCAGGGTTGCTATGAGGCATAACCGACTCCACGGTACTTAACAACATCAACAAGAACAACATGAGTCAGAACCAACTCAACAGCACAACAGCCTGGTATGAAGAAGTCCTGATGGTCATGTCTGAGCTGCTGATCGCAAGGGTGGCAGTTCCAACCCACTAGCCACTCCTTGGGAGAAAGATAAGACTGCCTACTCTGGTAGCGTAGTGGTTACGAATCGGGCTGCGAACCTTAAGGTCAGCGGTTCGAAACTACCAGCTGCTCCCCGGGAGAAAGATGAGGCTTTCTACTCCCGTAAAGATTTAC